AGTACAATAGAAAAAAGCATTTTAATAAGGATAGCTGGGAGAACTACATACTCCTGTGACAGAGAATTAAAATGGATGCTGACATCATATCATATATAAAATTAAATCAGATTTGGTGAAGAGGAGAAAGTAGACTAGAATAGTTTTTAAACTCTCAAAACACACCCCCGGTGACACACTTCCTCCAGAAAACCCACATCTCCTGTAGGGGAAGCTGAAGCCATGCCTACTTATGGGCTGGCTACAGGTGTGCCTGACCACGCCTGCGAGGGCATGGTCGGGGTGACATAGAGTGAGAGGTTCAGGTGGCTGGGTTTCACTTTCAGTTTCACCTTTTCAGTTTGTTGTACAGACTGCTGCCACACCGGCTGGCTAGGTCTCTCTGTAAGTAAGGCTTTTTCCTATTAAATACCCTTATATTTCTACTTGGCTCCACATTGGTAATTTCCCACATTAATCTCCTATATTTCCAAGTCATCACCAACAACTGGAGATAAGTATTCAAACATAGATGCCTCTGGGGGAAATTATCATTTAAGCCAACATAGGAATCATAAGAATACTGAACATAGAGTTTTCAAAACTGTTGCACTGTCAACAATCATTCTTGTGGATGCCAAGATATACGAAAACCAAAGATTACCTTTTTATTGAACTGTTGATAAACTGGACATCTCCATGCACAAGAAAGGAATCGAACAATTATCTCATTTCATTTAAACATATCTAATTAATGTCAATGAAAGAATTATATGTAGAGCCTGAAACTATAAAATCATAATAAGAAAAAGTAATGAAAAGCTTTTTTACAATGATCTTGGCAAAGACCTTTACATAGAATTCCAAAAGCATAAGAACAAAGCACCAACAGAAAAACTCGATATCTAGCATGCTAAAAATATACTATACTACACCAAGGAAAATAAAAAGAGTAAACCTATAATATAATGGTGAGAGGAAATATTTGAAGATTATAGTTTCATTACAATCTATATATACCAAATTTATACCAAAACATATAATGCAGTTTAACAATGAACCAAGACACTCAATAGACATGTCAAAAGAAAGAATTCAAATTGACAACTTGTGTATAAGTTTTCATCACCACTAATTTCAAAAGAAATGCAAATTTACAGGACCATGAGACATATCTTTACATTAATTAGGATGGGATTATAAAATATGGTATGTGGTAGAAAAGACTTCAGAGGAGTTAGCAGAAGGGGCACCCCTGTGCACTCTTGAAGGAGAATATAAATTAGTATAGTCACTACCCAGTACTATGGAGGTTCCCCCAAAATAAACAGAGAGCTTCCAGGTAAGCCAGACAGTGTGCTTCTGGGTATCTATGCCAAAGATCTAAAGTTAGTCTATTCAAGTGCCATCTGCACTTTCATATTTACTGTGGCATTATTCTCATCGCAAAATGTTGATTTAATATAAGTGTGCATCAAAGGACCTGTTGACAAAGGCACAACACAGACCTAGAAGTTCTTGGGACAACAGAAGATTCTAGCATTTTGGGGACAACATCAATTAATGTGAGATATTTAATTATTAAATGAAATTAGTCAAATATGAACCATCACACATTTTGTAATCTCACTAAAGGACAGAATCTAAGAACTATGGAACAGAGAGTACTATGGTAATGACTGAAAGCCAGGTGAATCTCCTTTGATGTTAAATTATCTAACATTCAGCTGCTAGGACCTGGGGCTAAGGATCGCACTTGTAAAGCAGGGATATTAATTTTGTTTTGCTTTAAAATTGCTGACAATACATATTTTTTATTTTCTCATCATATGAAATTAATAGCTATGTGAAGTAACATATGTATTAAAATTATATTAATATGTGTCCCTAAGTATAAATATAACAAAAGTTCATGCTATGTACCATGAATGTAAAATGCCTACTTATCAATTAAAATGTATCAATTTCTCTCACAAAACTTTAAAACCTGTATATGAGAATGGGAATAATTTTAATGACTTTGTTCCTATAATGACTGTTCACATGAAAACTCCAAAAAAGAAGTGAACAATCTGATCATGAATAGTCAGAGATATTAATAGACATCTCACCAAAAAATCTATTTGCAGAGGCAACATTGTTTTAAACAGAAAAGTCATATGTAGAAACTTCCATAGACTATATGATGAGAAAATACAAGGTGGAATAAGGAAATACACTATATACTAATTTGAGTGAACAAAATACAACATACTGACAACAGTGAATAAAGGAAATGTGGTGATAGAAAATACTATGAGTATAAAATGTTTTAAGCACTTTGGGGTTTGGTAGTCTCTAATGTAAGCACATGGTTATATATGTATATGAATATGAAGACATATGTTTATTCACACAAATATATCTTAACAGAAGAGTTTGCATAGGGACATAGTTGCTGTGTTAGGAACTACAAAATTTCAGAAACTATCAGGGCATTGTTGAGCAGTTATTTGATAATCTATTTCTTGTTGAGAAATACTATTTTTCAGTGTGAAAAGAAATGTGATATTGACCTATGTAAAAAAGGCATGAAAGAAACTTAAATGTTTCACTAAGTGAAATCCTTTACCTATCTGTGAAGGCTATAAGAAGCATGATTCTAACTATATGGCACTTCTTAAAAGCCCAAACTAATGAGATGATATTGATGGTTGCTAAAGGATGGAGTGGAAGGAAGGATGAATGGGTGGAACACAGTGTTGGCACAACCACCTCTGTACTCACAGAAACTAACATTACAAGTTTTTCAAAATACGCAGAATATACATAAAACAGACAATCCAAATGAAAGCTACAAATCCCGGTAGCAATGATCTGTTAGTGAGGATTTGTGAATTCTAACTAACTACTCTGAAGGGAGATGATAGAAATATGGAAATCAATGGGTGTCCAACTGGCTGGAAGGCTCCAAGAAACATTTGTACTTTCTGCTCAGTATTGTCAACATAAAACTCACAGAATTAATCCATTAAAATGAACTGAGACAGGCAACTTGGAAGGAATTGACAATGTGAAGGTTTAAGGGATTGCCTTCTGGATAAAGAGTAAGTTTGTAAGTTACTATCATTGTTAAATATAGAACTAAAGCAACGTGCCAAATGCATGATGGAGAAAAGCAATAGTGGTGCCAAATGAAGACAAAGAAATTGTTTCTGAGCAGATCAAATTAAAGGCCTTATAAATTAGAGGAAAAGTTTATGCAAAATGTGACAATAATAGATTTCAAGCTTTGGGCCAATATAGAAATGTGGTTGTGTTGTGGTTTGAGTATGGGATTTCTCTCATAGTCTTATGTCCTTGATCACTGGTTTCTCAGCTGATAAAACAAGTTTGAAGGCTGTATAATTTTCAAGACTAGAAGTATTATTGGAAGTGGGTAACTTGGACATGCCCTGAAATTCCATATTCCATATCCCATCATGGCATCTTTCTCTTCTCTGCTTTCTCAGTACAGACTCAGTGAGATCAGCTACTTCACACTTCTGCCAGTCATGATGAACTGTGCCTTTAAACCATGGGAAAAAAAAAAAACCACTTCTCCAGTTGTTTTTATAAAATGGTTTTTTCACAATAATAAGAAAGATATTGGATACAGATGTATTCTGCCTGGAGAATGGGATGTGGAGTGCTGTTGAGAAACAAATCAAAGGACTTTACCTGTGTTTAGAAGAATTTGAGGTTTTCAATTAAAATATAATGCTTGACTGAACTGTCGAATGTGGAAACATCAGAAATGTGGAAGAGACACATTTAAATAATCTGGAGATAGAGCAGGATTTAGAATGAAGAAAACATAGTAAGGATGACTTACCAGCTTCAGAAGAGGTCTTAGTTTAGGGTTGCAGCATCAAGATTTGGGAAGTAGTAGTCTCTGGTAGGATAACAAGTGTTCTTTTGTGGTACTTTTGGTTTGAAGATGCCTGGTGGCAATCAATAGGCAGTCTTAAATATTTTCATTTATGATTTGGGGAATAAATTAAGTGAGTATTGGGTAAAATTTCAGATTAACTGACTTATAAAGCTATAAGAGCAGATGTAATAACAAAAATGATATGGATGGAAAAGCAGAGATGCTAAAACAACGTCATCCAGCTGCTGACTTTGACCACATGGAGAGTTTTGATGACCTTTTTGCAACTTTAGAAGGAGAGGTGGTACTATTTCTTCTACTAGAAAATGCAATTGTGCTTTTAAAAAAAAGTTCACAATCTTGCTATTCCACAAACCTTTTCATTTCTCTTAACCTTTTCATGGACATTTTAAAATAATCCATTTGTGTGATGATATCCATGTATTTCTTATAATTAAAGATTTAAATATCATAAAATAAACATTTAAAACAGGAGTTACAGAGTTGAGTATAAGAACACTACAAATCAACTTTAATTTAGCAGTTGGTTAAATTGTTTAAATTCAATTTGGTTTAAATAAGAAAAAACTAACTTACCAAGAATGTTCACCAGGAGTTACAATTGGCTCAATCTTGTGGTCACTTCAAACTCAGATGGCTCTGTAAACTCCAAGTTTTCTTTTTCTTCTTCCAACAGTGATGGTCCTTTACCCTGATATTTTTACTGACGTCTTTCCCTTCATGCTTTCCTTACTCACTCATTTCCTCCCTTCCTTTTCTGTGTTTTCTTCCTTAAGTCATCTTAGATATTTATTCAATTCAAACTCTATTTTCTAAACATGGTTTTGATATTCTTGGCCATTGTACAAGCTCAGCTTCACATCATTAAATCTAGAGACAACATCAAGTCTTCATGGAGTTTCCTTTCAACAAAGTCCGTGCTATTATATTTTTGTTTGTTTCCCTGTCTTCATTTCCTGGATTCTTACTTACATACTCTTTGAATCTTTCTAGTGATTTTACTTTTAAAACTCCATATCTACCATTTTAGAATAGGTATCTTCCACATCATTTAACAAATTCTATGCATTTTTCTTTGTCCTTTTATATGTACCGTGGCTATATTTTCCTTTCACTTTGTATTTTTTTCTTCTCCTTAAAAATTATTTGATTACATTGCGGTACACTTTTTTTTTCTTTTTTTTTTTTTTGTCTCATGTGTTCATTTTTAAGACTACTGAAGTGGGTTCATTTCCTTCATCTTGAGTTCTGATCCAACACCTACTTTGCCTTCTTCTCTTTCTTTGACTTCTTTTCATCCTTTTTTGATTCTAAGGAATCACCTGCAGAGTCTTTCTTGTCTTTCTTCTTGTCTTTCTTAACTTTCTTACCATCTTCCTTAAAGTCTCCATCTGCCTTCTTATGACTTTCCTTCTTCTTGCCTTCTTTCTTTCTTGCTTTCTTTGAATCTCCCTTCTCACTTCCAGAATCTGGGAGTGTATCTTTGCTCTTAGAGAACCTTTTGCTAAGTTTGATTCCTTTCTTTTCACCAGCCTTGTTAGCTTCTGAAAATGCAAGTGTATCTTTTGAATCCTTTGATTCCTTTTTACTTTTCTTGACTTCCTTCTTCCCACCAGCCTTTTCAGCTTCGGATTCTGAGCCTGACCCTTTACTCTTTGGTGCTTTTTGATCTTTCTTGGTTTCTTTCTTCTTGGCAGCCTTTTCAGCTTCAGATTCTGAGGCTGACCGTTTAGGTGATTTTTTAGCTTTCTTGGTTTCTTTCTTCTCAGCAGCCTTTTCAGCTTCAGATTCTGAGGCTGACCGTTTAGCATTAGGTGATTTTTTAGCTTTCTTGGGTTCTTTCTTCTCAGCAGACTTTTCAGCTTCAGATTCTGAGGTTGACCCTTTGACTTTCTGGAAATCCTTTGAACTTTTCTTGGCAACTGGTTTGGGACTTTGTTCCTTGACTGCCTTTAACACTGTCTTCCCTTTCTCTTCAGATTCACATTTTTTCACTTTCTCTTCTTTCTTCGGTTTTTCTGAAGACGAAGTCTTGGATAGGCCTGCTTCTTTGGACTCTCCTTTGGCAGAACGATGTACTTTCGGCGGAAGGCCCTTCCTGGCAGCTAAATAAACTGATGGTCTGTCAGGAATTTTCATCAGAGAACGGTGCATCCATAATGGTGGTCTGTGAATTCCTAATTTTTGTTCATCAATTACCTCAATATTGACAAGAATAATAAGGAAAATGTTATATAGCCTTTAATAATAAGATACCACATATATTTCAATTTCAACTAGAAATATTTTTGAATATGTCTTTTGAATATATTAAAAAATGTTTTGAAAAAATCAGTGGACTAATTGTGGATTTTAAATTTCATTAGGATTCAAAGTAATGGACAATTATGTCCCTACTTATAGTTTATTTTCAATTTAGAGGGACCATAAATTTTCTTTAAGATTTTAACAATATTTGGTAGAGACCTCCATTGGAGCATAACACATTAGAACCTGTCTTCATTATTAGGAAAGGCTAATAATGACCCTATTGTGGGATTTTATATCTGGTGGACATTTCCATGTTAGTTATACTAATTGTAAATCAATGCATTTTGACTTTTTTGTGATGTAAACAATATATTTCATGTAGGAGTCCTAAGTGAAGTGTTATCATAAAATAAGCTATGATCAATTTTAAAATTGAGGTAGCAATTACATAAAATATATCAATTATGATAGGACTCAAGTTATCCCTTACTGGCATAGCACATATAACAATATATGATGTTGCAAGATTATTATTATTAAGTAATTAATTACTGATATGTCCATGATATTTTCATATACTCACAGGAGCTGTATTATTGTGTAATTGAGAAGGTAATGATCTCCGTTTCTTTCCTGGCCTTGGTGGTTTGGGAAATGCCAGGGCAAAGTACTGCTGATTCCATGACTTTTTACTTAATTCACTGACTAAAATAAGAAAGATAACATACAATTTGCTATAAATAGACTTTTGTCTCAACTGAAATGACATGAGTATGATTTATACCATAAAGATAAATAAATAGAGGCAAATTACAGCTTCATTTATTTGATAGTTTGAAATTTTCAGTGATCAAAATGGGAAGCTTAGATTTTTTATATTGACCAATTTATAAACAAATAATTTGATTGATGGTTATATAAAGTAGTTATAATGATATCAGTGTGTATATAAAGGAGAAAAAGAGTATCACTGCTCTAATTTCAGTATTGCTGTCTCTTCTTGTTTAGATTCTTGCCATGTGTTCTTTTGATTTGAATATAATCTTTCTCGGAACAGAAAGATATGGTAAGTACTTTTATAGCCACTAAAGAATTTAGCATTCTACTTGACATAAAAATATGAAGAAAATATGTGCTTGAATTTACAGACTAAGACTCTAAATCCTATTACCTAATACTCAGTTTTTCAGTTGTAAGAAGACATGTAATATATTCAAGAGATATGCTGTTATTGAAGATTGGCTTAACAAAGAAAAATGGTAAACAAATGCAAAATGGAACTAAAACAGTGATGAAATAGCAGCAGAAGTGTTTAAGGGTGTTTCAGTTACAACCGAGGTCAATGAGAAATACCATCACTGTACTAGTGCATATGAAATATTGAAAATTTTAGAGAGAAGACTTCCTACTTTCCAAAGGACAACATTCAGATTTGTGTTACAAATGTATAGAATGAAAGTCACATTAAAGTTTAATTGATGAGAGAAAATAAGTTGGTAGTAAAACCTGTTCAATATTAAATAGATTTTCCTTATCTTATGTTGATGTGAGCTAAATATAAACAAGGAGGAATACAGTAAAAGGATCTGGGTTAAAAGTATTTATTCAGTTTCTTCATTGCTTTTCAAATTCCAGACCCCTGTGTTATGATTTTTTTCTAAAATGAAAGTATTCCAGAAGATTTAAACCCTACTTATACAAAATATTTCTATATGAAGTGCTTTCAGGGTACCCTGGAAAAAGGCTTTTTGGCAAACAAACATGACATATTAACTATAGTCCACAGCAGCATTTATGACTTTAAACTGAAAACAATAAAATATGTCTAAAATTAAACAGGCAAAGGAGTAATCTACCAACGTCTGATTCAGCTTAAGTCCCCCTCCACAAGATGGAACCCATATACAACATTGCTTGGTGAGCAAGAACCAGAGAACAGATAGCCCAAAGAACTAGAATAAAACCATATACTACTGTTATAAAAAAAAATTGGTGATACAAAATCCTAATGATATTCTGCTATATTCAGAAAAGGCCTTCTTCAGCTGTTATTGAAGAGCTTCCTCCTGCAGCCAAAGAGAACAAATGCAAATATCCACAAACAGACAGAGGGAGATCTTAGAGCACACAGCTCTAAAAGGGATGTATGCATTAAATTCCACTCCAAGAAGGGCTGAGAAATCCCATGGAAGAGGAGTTGGGAAAAGTATAACAGTCAGAAGGGATGGAAGACACCCAGAGATCAAGTTCATCTAAATAAGCTTCACAAACCTCATATGAACTCACAGAGACTGAAGCAACAATCACAGGGCCTGCAAAAGTCTGCGGTCAGGTCCTAGATATACATTGTGACTTTCAGTTTTTAGTTTTTATGGGACTCCTGTATGTGTGAATGAGTTGGACTCTAAATCTTGGGGCTCTTTTCCTTCTGTTGGTTTGCCTTATCAAATTTTGATGTGATGTTTTTTGTTTTATTACTCTATTTAATTTGTTAATATTATATTTGTCTCTTAGAACCCTGTTATATTCCAATGAGAGACAGAAAAGGAGTAGATCCTGATGGGGGAGGAGGTGGGGAGAAATAGGAGGAGTAGAGGGAAGGAAAAGTACAATCAGGAAAAGAGAAAATAATCTATTTTCTATAAAAAGGAAAAATAAAACCAATCATTCATTTAAAAAATAAATACTGAACTCCATCTTACCTGGAATATAATTATCGTATGCTCCATATGTTACTTTTAGGCTATTGAAATAAGAGAAAATTTTAAATTGTTTTATTCAAATATCATATATCTAATGATCATTATTGTACATAAAATCATTACCAAATAGCTAATTATTTAATTCTCATTATTATTATAAGCCAATTTCATCTACAGGGAAGAAGGGATGAGCAAACAGTATTCCAATTTTAACAAACCTAAGCTAGGGTAGAGGTGAATATATATGTGTATGTATGTAAGATATATATGTATACACACATACATACATGCATACTTACATACATGTATTTGTATACTTATGAGCCCACCTTCTATTCACAACTGAAATTTAGAGGTTTTTCTTAATAATTTGTAAACACTAATCAAGTTATTTTTCTAAATCATAGCATAGATTCTCTTGGAATTGACTTTTAGCTAAGATATCACTTTCTAACCCATGTTTAACTAAAGCAAATACTCAATATCGTCTCAAAATTTAACCTAATGTAGGTCGTTAAATGGCTTAGGTCTGTGTATGCATGTGCATGTTTCAGGATTCTCAGTGTGCATTCTAAGTATAGAAACAGAATTTCATTGGGTAAATAATCTAGGGAAATATAAAATATTAACAAATTGTGTTGCAAACAGCTTTCCATTAATAACTTCTAACCTGCTTTTTTATCATAGAAAAACATTTGTTAACAGGAAGAATTTATTAACTAATTTTTATTTGTTTTAAACAAAGAACACCAATTATGTACAGTAGTACTATTGTCCAATATTGTTCTACTATGTAACAAATGGATATCAATTGTTGATCTGACTGAATCTGAGTAATAATTACATATCCAAGAAAAATTAGTTTCTCCATTTTCAACTTTTTGGTTGCATATATATGTGAATGTGGTGTACATGTATATGCATGCTAGCATTGTGTGCTGGTATATGTGTGTGTTGGTTTGTGTGTATGTGTGTAAATATACATTAGAAAACAAACTCAATGGTTCTCTCCAATACATATTGAAACATGGTACCTCATTTGATTGTGGAACTCACTGATTTAGCTATCCCAATTAGCTTGCACTGGCAATCCTGTCTCTGTTTTCCATGCTCTGGGATTATAGGCATGCATTCATGTACTAAATGCAGCTGCTAGGATGTTGCTTAAATTCCTGTTCTTATGCCTGTGCAGCAAGCACTTCATGACATAAACTGCATCTTTAGTTTCTATATTTTACTTATTTTAACAATATAAAGTTAAAATTAATGATTATTCTTTGTCTCAATGATAAAACAATTTTCTGGTGGATGAGTATACAGAACTGGGTCATATTAATTGTTCTGATCTTATGTCAATGAAGATTCTTTTAAAAAGTTAAGAACAAATGCAAAATGAAAAATTAAAAATGTTGAAATATTAAAACAGTTTGTAAAACAATGTATATATTTAATATCTCATTATACAAAATAATTATTTAAAGTCAATGTTTTTAATCTTTGTATAAACAATAATAAAACAGTATAAAGAAAAAAGAGGGAAGAAAAGATAGCTTGATTCATCCTTTAATTCAGTATTAATATACCCAAACTGTCATGATTATTATAAAAATAGTATGATAGAAAAACACTCAATAACCAGATCCACAATATTTTATATTTCTACATATTTCATGAGAAAATAAAATGATGAACCTAAAAATATTATGACTGAAGTTTGTATTCCACAATATAATTAAGCTAAAATAAATTCAATTAGCATATTCATCCTTAATCAAAAAAATAATCTGATCAGCTTAGTGTAAGTAGAACAAATCATGATAATAATAATGTCTATTTATATTTCATTTATTTATTGGAAGAAAATGGAATTAGGAAATGTCTTCCAAATTTCAATAAAATATTTCTAGAAACTATATGCTGTTAACATTATAAATATTAATTTAAGATTATCTTTCTCCTATAATCTAAAGGCAAAATGTCCACTCCCATGAACATTGTGGCTAGTATCCATTCCATGCTCTAAGGCAATAGAAGCATGGAAACTGGAAAGAACAAGTCAATATATCTCTATTCATAGGAGAGGTGAGTGGGCACAAAAAGTAGTTAATGCAATCTATAAAAGCAATGCATTGTTAAGTAAGTGTACTAAGGTGATACATTTTATTTGATTGGTCATGTGATGTTCAGTTTTAATTGTTCATTTGTTACAATATAGGATCACTTGGGGAAAAGGATATCTAGAAAAGTTTGTGAGGGATTGTCTTAATTGCAATGAAGGTCCACCCACTGTGGGTAGAACCATTCTTGGGTTTGGCATCCTACGCTAAATGAATAAAAGAAAGTGAGCTAACAAATAGCAGGCATGCATGAGTCTATTTCTCTGTGCTTTAAACTATGGCTGAAATACATTGAATCCGCTCAAGCTCTTGCCACTGTGACTTTCTGAAATGATGGAGTGTAATCTGGAACTTTGACATTAATAAACCTTTTCTTCCTAGAAATGCATTTGTCAAGTATTTTTATCATGATTCCAAAAATCCTAAGACAAATTTCATAAATTATACTTCCATGTCTTCAAAACTATGATTTATAATTCAAAGACATTATATCAGCATATAAAGAATTAAAGTTAACAGTTAAAGTTGACATAAATAACATAATAAAACAGATGATCATTGATATGCAGTAGTCATGAATCAAACACAGAATAGCCACTCATTTCAAGAGAATATTTTCCAGGGAGAGAAATAAATTTCAACATATTGAAATACCTTGAAAATTTTCAGAACATCTTTTCTTATTATATTGAAATAAAACTTGAAATCAATAAGAAAATTCTTGAAAACATTAAGACAATTCAAATCCAAGGGTATTAAAGAGATTACTCTCTTATTTATCAGTCTTTTAAAATTTCTGTTTTATTTTTATTTTATTTATTAAATTAGCATGAAAACTAAATTTCTTTGTGATATTTTCACACATAGATTTAATTGATACTATCCCCCTTCCACTTGTCTCTCACTGAATCACACACACACACACACACACACACACACAGAAAAAAATCAAGTTACTTCATTTACTATAATCTTTTTCAGTTTCATCTATTTTCCTGCAAACTTTATAGGTTCATTTCTTTATCCCTGAATAAAATTCCACTGTGTATACCATGATTTTATAATCTATCCATCTTTTGATGGATATCTACACTGATTCCATTGCCTTGATATTATGAATGAAGGGGCAAATATCTTTGTTGAATAGTCAGAGTGTTAAGAGAATCATTGAGATTAAAACTATAAATTTCTTGAAACAAATAAATATTGAAATGCAATACAGCCTGAAAAAGTTATACCAATATGGTTGTTTATAGAAATTAAATCCCACATCAAATTTTAAAATATATTTTAAAGTGCTATGAAAACAAGATAGGGAGTTCAAGAGCTTTATATTTGTGAAATAAATTAGCAATGAAAGAAAAAAATATCTAAAAATATATCAAATAGAAAAGATTGATGCTATAGAAGTAGGAGTAGAATGATGGTCCTTAGACACTATAGAGATTGTCTTACATACTTTCCCTTTTGATGTGATACAATACCCAGACAAGGGAGGCAGCAGAAGACAGATCTCTGAGTTTGAGGCTAGTGTAGTCTATAGAGTGAGTTCTAAGACAACATTTCCAGAACACTGGTTAGTTTTACATAGCCATGTCTCTTAAACAAATTCATGAAAAGTGCATTCATAGAATCTTCAGACTGTTCTTTGAGCAATATGTTCTAAAGAACTGGGCACTGAGGCTTACAGGAATCGTCCAAAATTACAGGAAATGTTAAGTTTAAAAAGCCCACCTTCCTTTTATATTTCAGAAATCCATTCTTTCATCTCACCTTCATTTGAACAGAAATAGCTTAAGTGTAAGAAAAATACTATTCTCATTATCAAATTATCTGTTCCTGTTTGGATTACCTGCTTCTTATGACAGAATATTTTTACAAGCCCAGGATTCCTCAGGAGGAATAAATTAACAATCTATAGGTTTCCTTTGTGTAGAGCTTCCCCATTGAACTCCAGCCTTAAAACACCTGAAGTTCAGTAAGTCTCTTTTGTGACAAACATAAAACATGTTCCCAGAAATTTATACATTGCTCAGAGAGAGAAGATAGTGCCTAGTTAACAATAATTCACTATGTCATTTGATAATCTCCAAATTCATCATGACATGAAATCAAGACTTATTGAAAAAGAAAAATGAAAAAAAATCTCTACACTTTACTGAAGTAGAGTAAATATATCTTATATCAAAGTAGCTAATACTATTGCTCTTTTCTTAACATCATCTTCCCTGTTTACAGTTGGCTTAATAAAAACATAATAAGCATCACTTTACAGTAAATGCAGTATGACAAATAGACTTACAATCTTGGTATAGACATTTCTCCCACTTGTGACTTGCCAGGGCCCAAGTTTGGTGATGTGGAAAGGTGATGTCATAAAGAGAACAAGAACCCTGTGACTTAAGGGGAATGCTGAGAATTCTTTCTGCTTGGGTTTTCTGTCATCTAAAATTCTAAGATTAAAATTTAATACAACTAATGATTACTGAGTAAGCCTAAAAATCACAGTCACATTTTAATAAATACTTGATTTTGAATAGTTTCAGTTTATTAATATGTTGGGGTTTTGGTTCCTTTGTTTATTTTTGTTAGTTTATTTGAGACAAGGTCTCTCAATGTAGTCCTAGCTGTTCTGGAACTCCCTATGTAGACCAGATTGGCCTCAAAATCACAGAGATTGTCCTTCCTTACAAGTGCTGGAAAAGACATGTGCCACCAGGCTGGGTCTTATTAACATGTTTGAAAAAATAAATTTTAACATTTAACTCTGACATTTTATTATAACCCAATTTACCTTGTGTTAAACTTTTTCCTAACTTTACATTTCATTCAGCCTTCTTAATCTTTTATAGATTCAACTTGTGAAACATGCTTGAAGCTTCACATTGATGGGGCTGAAGAGATGACTAAATATCTAAGAGTGTTTGCTTTTCTTGCAGAAGAATTTATTCAGTTACTAGCACCCATGTTGGGATTGCCACAAAGTCCTATATTTCCAGCTCCAAGGACTATGACATCCTTTACTGGCTTCTGTGAGCCTCCACACCTGAGTGCACATATTCATATCCATCTACATATCTAAAAGTAAATCTTAAGAAAAAAATACAATACGTGAAAAATTACAAACAATGAAATATCTATGAGTGTGTGAAACAATAGAAAAATGTGATATTTGTATTTCAGAGTCTGCTTTATTGCTCCTGTTTCCAGTTCTTTTCATTTTCCTTCATCTCATGATTTTATTTTATGTTTGAATAAGTGTTCATTATTTATATATAGTCCTTTTATTTATCCATTATTTGTTTGATGATGCATATAGATTCAGTCCATCTCTAAGGGCCAGTAAGTATGCATGCAGAACTTACAGTCCTTTTTACATATATCCAACAGAGATTTCTTGAGAAGCTTCTATATTGATTTGGTGAAGGGGTTTATATTTGTGACGCCATTAATAAGGATTTTTCATTACCAACAACTTCAGCTATTTATTGTCATTTGATTTCTTGATGTTAGTCATTCTGTGATATAATACTAATTTATTCTAGTATTCAAACCAACATTATTCTGTCTTTCTATCTTACATCATCACATCTTTCTCACCTTGATCAGTCCTATAAACCCATTGTGGAAGTAGTGCTTTGAGTAAGAAATGTTTGTCAAGGGCTCAGGTATTTGTACGCTTGGTCCCCCATGTTATAGCACTGTTTGAACAGGTCATGGATATTTAGGGAATGGAATCTTGATGGAGGCAGTATATCACTGGTGGAACATGGGACAGGGTGAGAGTTTTTAGCATCATTCCTTTTACCGTTTAATCACTCTGCTTTTTGTATATGCAAAGAAATGTGTTTGTCATGTGACCCTTTTGATACATAAACAAATGTCTACTCACCCCAGGTAAGGAACCAAGAAGAGACTACTTGAGTATATAGTCTGTATTATTATATATTGGCTACTAATGTTTTTTTTTATTTTAAAAGGACTCACAAATAAGTTTTGCTCTGATTCTCAGAAGCATCTTAGGAGCTTTGAACAGTGTAAATTCTGTTAAAGGCTCTGGAGACTTTTGAAATGGAGATAAGCAAATTTTGTATTATGATTTGGCTATGAGTCTGTGGAGGCTGGGGAGTTTCATGTGGTAACTGAGAAGTATTCCCTAAATGCTCAGGTGTGTGAACACCCAGTTAGCAGTGCTGTTTGGGGGTTTTCTAAAACCTTTAGGAGGTGGAACCTTGTTGGAGGATGTACGTACCTAGGGAGTAAGGGGTTGACATTTTATGTCCTCTCCCCAATTCAAGTTCACTTTTTCTGCTTCTTGTGGACACTGAGATGTGACTAGCCCAACTTCAGTTATAGTCATTGATATGTATTTTTCCATTTGCAACCATAAGCCAAAATAAACTCTCTCAAAAGTCAATTTTTGTCATAGTGCTTTACCACCACATTGAAAAGAAATGAAAACACCCATAAAGTATACATTGTGGATGGTTAAAAAAATAAGAATGTCATAAGAATTTCACATCTTTATGATGTTGAAGAACTGGAGACAAACACACAGTTTCAAATTAAAACATGTCTGTTCATTGTAGATACTGAATGATGAATATTTAAATTGGATAACTCATGAATAACAAAACTTTGTTATTCAAATGTTCAAACTTCCACATGTTAAGGGTAAAATTTCTTGCAGGTTTTATGGTGAGAAATTGAATGTAGGACCAGCGAAATGAGAGGTTATAATCAAAACTACTTATATCTATAATCTACACATGACTATAATAAAACATTTGAAATAACTTACAATTGAAAAAGTTTTATTTGGCCTCATGTCTTTGAAACTTTTAGTGTAATATCACATAGAAACATTGATTTGGGCCTTATCAGTAAGCTGAGCAGGAACTGTGGCAGGAGTTTAAGGTGTGCATGATGAAGCAAATTGTTCACATCATTATCCTGGAAGCAAAAGGATGGGGGGAGGAGAGGAGAGAGGAATTTGAGGGGAGAAGATTAGAGGAAGGGAAGTGAATAATGGGAGGCAAGGAGAGAGAAGAGAAGACATGAAGGGAGGAGTGGAGAAAGGATGGGAAGGGAGAAAAAAGGAGAGAAGAGGAGAGGAGAAGGGTGACGGAAGACGAGAAGAGAAGAGAAGAGAAGAGAGGAGAAGAGAAGAGAAGAGAAGAGAAGAGAAGAGAAGAGAAGAGAAGAGAAGAGAAGAGAAGAGGGGAACTGGAGTCCCACAGTTTCTTCAGTAACATCTTAATTGAATAACAGCCTCATACTCTGCACCATGAACCAATAAAACCACCCTGCAGATTATCAAATCAACACATAAACTTTCAAGCATCATTTATACAAACTGCAAGACAAAAGTTATATCAGCCACAGACTTTAGTTTTAGCAAATCATTAATAAATCTTTTTAATTCTGCATCAAAATAAAAGTTCTCATATCATAAAGTACAATCTAGGAAAATAAAACATAGATTAAATTTTTAGAATTTTCCTTCATTCAGTTAATAATTTATGTTGCACTTCTATTCTATTATAGCCTACATAATGAACATACCATTAAGTAGATGATTTATTACTGAGGCTATATATTTATATACTATATACATGATCACTTGATTTAGTTGAGACAGTCATCTCAATCACGTACATAGAGGGTTGCTTGCTTTCTATTGTACTTAGCTTTAAATTTAATTAAATCCTACATTCCCTTCCTCTTACAATGATACTTTTGGTTAAGTAATATAAATTATGTCAGTGAAGTAACTTCAATAATGCATGCAAGAATATGACACATGTACAATTTCCACTGTGCCACTGTGTGTTGTAAATGGCAAGGTGAGAATAGAATATGTTGACTTTGGGATAATTGATTTAACAAGTGGCCGAGAATATTTTTCAACTGCTCCTTTCCAATCTGATATTAATATACATCTGTTTTATTTGTATAAAGATTATTCTCCAAGTGCAAATACATGTCAAATTTAAAAATGTGTTGTAGTGTGAGTGTCAAAATATTGTGTTCCTGACTCTCAGATTCTGCACTAGCCTCTTAAAAGAAAATCATTTGGTTTTAGATCACAGATGTTCAGTTCATATTTTCATTCATACAACAAATTTTCTTTTTAAATTGTATTGTATCATCCAGGAAATGCAAACATATAAACGATATTATGATTTTCACTGAATTTATTAAGCTACAGAATCCTAGAGCTAATTTCCAGTCTGTTTCAGCAAAGTTATTAAAAATAATAATTGATTTATATTATAGGTTATCAAATTCAGAACATGATATAGTTCCTCATGTTATCTCAGTTATTAATCTGAATTGTGAAGGATCATAATTTTTCTATTTGGAAAAGTGCATCTAAAATGATTGGTAATTATATAGAACTACCCAGGAAAGTAAAAGATCCTCAAGTATGTGCAGAATAGACTTTCAATATTTGCTTGGATTTGGATATAATTTATTTCTGAATGTTTCCACATACAGACAAATAGATCTCTGTAGGTTTGTGTTGATTGAGTCTCAAAGAGATATGACATTTGGAAAGTAATTGGGACCTCCATCATTGTAATAGATTAAAGCTTAAACAACAATGCATGTTGGATCTTATGCCAAAAACACAGTTCTCTTGGGAATGGCTGTTACAAAGTAAGTTCATCTTGAGTATTTTGTTCTTTGTGTAGGTGGATGACTTTATTTGTGGTTCTTAGCTATATTACACCACAGCCATAATTTCCTTCTACAAGATCTTGATGTCACACTGAGTGGACTTTGCAGCTACTTAAACTGCATGTCAAATGAACTTCATATGAACACAAAACTCATTGCATTGCCCAGTACCACTAACAACATTCCCAAGGTTTCTGAATGACAGAAATAATCCATTCAAATTTTGGAAAATATGGAACAGCCATCACTTGCTTTTATTGAATTACTTCTCCCAAGATAACAGTCAGAATAGAATTTCTGCTGTTCTTCTCTTTACATTTATCCCTGGAAACTCAAATACCAATAAGCTAATCTCTGTTCAGGATTCATCAAAAGAAAAAAAAACACCCAACTCCCCAATACCTCAATTTATAATAAAAACAATCAATAGAATCATTGCAAACATAGGATTTTGGATAGTCACTCCTAATGAATCTTAGATAAATATGAGTTACTTCTCAGTTCCTACCAACTCATATAGGTAGCACCTTCTTTGTGAGTCTGTGGGCATCAGATTATAGAACAATACCACAGCTCAGAATCATATGACAAAGAAGTTCTCTAAATCTTCTAGTACTCATAGCTTCTTACAGCAA